GGACGCCGGCCCGCCGGCCCGCCCACCCGGCTCAGTGAGCCCCGGCTCACCTCAGCTGCCGGTCGTACTTCTGCTCTTTGAGCAGCTTCGCCGGCTGCGCCATGGCCGCGCTAGCCTCACTGGGAACCGGCAAGTCACAGTCACGCAGGGCCGCCACCTCCAGAGCGCGCAGGCGCACTGGTCGCCCCTTAGCCGCCGCCGCCCGCAGGGGGCGCCGCCGCTGCACTGCGCACGCGCCGCGAGTCCGACTCGTCTTAACGCAGCCACCGCCTGGACGCGGGCTGGAGCTGGTGGCTCAGTGTTCCGCGATGCGTGAGCCGCGCTAGTGTGCAAGTAGGTGACTTTTTACGCTCCGTAATCGTGGGGGACTCTGGTAGATTTGCATCTTGAACACTAACTGCTTGTGAAATCTGCTCTTTACCTCTCAAATCCTCAGTTGATTCCCCTGGTCAGTGAGGATAACTGGGTCTGAGGCACATTCTTTAAACCTTAAATGGCATTTTGAATACAGAGCCAGATTCACCAAAAAAAAAAAAAAGTAGACCATAGTAACTTTTATGATGATGATCATTATTGTTCATTCTCCCATCTTCTCCCATCTTCTCATGCAGCAAACCCACACTGAGGGCCCATTCATTTCAAACCATAAAGCTAACTACGTTTGGCTGCAGGTGTAAAGATGAGTAAGTCCCTGGATCTGTTCTTGGGGAGTTCACACTTCCTTGAGGGGACAAGGACAATAAAGGAGCGTTTATTAGACTGTGAGCCTGCTCTAGAGAAGAGAACTGAGGGTGTACAGAGGAATCCCACCCACACTCCTCTCCAGAAATGGTTCATGCAGTGTAGGCAAGGAATGTAAATTTAAGTAGAAATAACAAAAGGTCATCTCTTGGAGACAGAGAAGGCAAGGCAGAGAGTTAAGGAATGCGAAGGAGTGCTCTGGGAGGCTTAAGGGATTGTAGCTTGGGAGGACTTTGAACATTAAGCAAGAAGACATTTAAAGCTATCTGCCTTTTGAAAAGAGCTTCTTTCAAGAAGAAAATGGCTGCAGGGTGGCAAGGAAAGAGGCTCACCCATGAGGAAGGGAGGGGGAAGAGAAAAGACTGCAGACCAGGAACCCAGCAGGGAGGGGAGATAAGGATTTTTTCCCTCCAGCTCCCAGAGCCTACAGCCACCTGCAGGTTAATAATTTTCTGAGATGAGGGGAAAATGAGCATAACAACATGTGTCCCCACCCTGGGATCAGGACAGGGGAGAGGGCACAATTTGAGAGTAATGATGCAATGATGATGGATGCAATTTCCCCTGCGTTCTGTCTCCAGGGTCAGAGTGGGGGCACACCCTTTCATGACTTCCTTGGCCACTACCCAGCACCAGTGCCAGTGGGACACAATTGATGAGAAACAGAGGCATGAGGCTCTCCCAGCTGCTCTTATGGTTATGTTGTCATATTTCCTTCTCCAGGTGAAATATAAGGGATAATAAAATACACCCATGGAATGTGGGAAGGTAAAAAGGTGACAGGTGAGAGTTCACCAACTTCTCATGCTCAGTGCCACAGCTGACTACATGAAAGGAAACCCCTAAACTTGCTGTGGGTAGGGCCTGCGTGGTCATACATACAGCCTACGAAGAAATGTGTGATTTTGAAAAAGATTTGCATTGGGGACATTTGTAAGAAGATACTTGAGTGTTTTCTAGGACTGCTGTAACACAGTACCATAAATTGATTGGCTTAAAACTATAGAGATGTATTATCTCAAAGTTCTGAAAGCTAAAAGTCTGAAGTTAAGTGTGGAAAATATGCCTTTTTGAAGCCTGTGGAGCAGAATCCTTCCTTGCCTGCCAAGCTTCTGGTGGCTTGCTGGCGATCTTTGGTTTTCCGCTGCAACACTTCAATCTCTGAGTCTGTCACAGCACTGTCCTCTCATGTTTCTGTTTCTCTCCTTAAAACAACACTGTCATACTGGATCAGGGCTAATGATCTCACCTTAACTTGGATACATCTGCAGTAACTCAATTTCCAAATAAGGTTGCTGTCATGGTGCTGGGGGTTAGGATGTCAGTCACTTTGGGGGGATACAATACATGTAAATGGGCCTGTGCTGGGGCCATAGGGGTTAATCAGATGCTAGCCCTGCCAGCTGGGAACTCAGGGTTCACTGAAGGGTTCTTCCTATGGTAGAAGACAGAGAATCAGGACTTAGAGAACCATGGGCTAATTTATTTTCTTATTTGTTCTGTTTTATGTTAAAGCAAGCTCTGGCTAGTTGACTAAAGAAAAAATCTGCAATGATTTCCACCATTCTGTTCTGGCATGCTTCTAATGGAATCAGAATCAGCTGGGTCAGTACTAGCCAGCATGCCCACTCTACAGTGTTTTCCACACACGGTGCCCAATTCAATAGTATTGCTGTGATGACGATGGACACCAGTTTGGGCCAACTTGGCATAATACTCTAGCTCAGATTTCCTCAAAGCTAGGCAGTTGTTGGCGAGATTGATCAGTTTTACTTTGCCTCATTTGATCGATTTCTACTTGCACCCAGCATGTATTTCTCACTTTTCCTGATGAGATGTTGATTGACAGTAGTGACTTTTGTTGGGCCTCTCTGTATCCACCCTATTCCTGCCTAGGTGCGGAGGGGCCGCCAACCAGGAGCAGCCTGGGAGAAAGTCTAATTTTTCTTTTTTTAAAGATTTAGTTATGGGCCTCCCTGGTGGCGCAGTGGGTTAAAGCACAGTACTAAGAAACTTAAGCCGATTCTGCATGAGTTCGATCCCTGCCTGCCCCG